TTGGGCCACGTTTGTTTGTACAGAATATTCCTGTTGAGATTAAATGAGATTCACGTAGCTAAACCCACATGCAACTCAAAATTTACCCAAGCCAATGTACAGTGTGCATTTTCTATAGAAATGGATTGCAAAAAGTGCTTCGGTTTGTGAGGGCCAAGATATTCACCCATCACCAGGCCTTTGCCTACCCACTCCCCCTCTCTTGGCATGAGGGTAGCTAAATGCCTTTAATCACCAAGCAGCCAACGGAAAAGTTAAACAAGTTCCTATACATCTGAAAAATGTTAAAATATTTCATTGAACTATTGGGTATATTGTTCTCTTAAATTACTTCATCAATACAAAATAGAACAAACCTGTCTAAGGCCTATTTTCTTACTGTCCCACATCTGTTTGAAATTCCAGAAGAAAGGCTGGTCACACTTTTGACAAGAGTCACTGTCCAACCACTCCGGTGTCTGTAACACATAAAAGGGTTATGATAAATAGGCAGAAAAGCTTCAGGTAGGAATCCAATAGCAGAACAAGCCATGTGGCTTCTGTTGCAATAATTAAACAGTGTTATGCTGAACTTGTCTAGAAAAACAGTTTTTCAGCTGAAGGTTGTATAAACACCAAAGCGTTCCCCGGGATTTATTTTGCTGTGTTCTGAAAGTTCACACAGGAGGAACGTTTCTCACCATAAAGTAGGATTCTATTCTGAAAGAAAGCCCAACATTTGACAGAAACATGGATGCTTAAAATCAGACGCCTGAAATGAATGGTGTGATCCTGAGCACTCGCAACTGGCTCCACTGAGCGTTGCAGGTACTCAGCACTACTAAGACTCAGGCCTGGGCCCCTGCAACTCTCCCTGGACCCACTTGTGGGGGGGGTCAGCACTACTTAGAACCAGGTCATTCATTTTTAGGTGCCTAAACACCCAATGTTTGAAAATTTTGCTCAATCTTTTTAATTGTAATTGGCTTTTCTGAACCTCCTGCTGTCAGACTGTTGTGCTTCAAGTCTCATGTGTGGGGATGGCAGGCAGATCCTGAACAAGCCTGAACAAAAAGAAAGTCGGCTCTATCGTGCTTTTACATTTATATACTAAGCTAGCGTTTATTTTTAGTAAAATCTTGTATTTTCTAAGGCAGTTTGATCTAATGCTGTGCTTGTCATGCTGTGAGTGAAGTGGGTAAGAATTACTTCTGGGGGAATTCTGCATCATTGCGCAAGGCAGAATTTTGCAGAGATTAATGTTGTGTGCGCAGAATTTCCTCCCCCCCCGAAATGGACTGCAGAGATGTTGGCCCCCACTAGGGGCCACTGGACCCAGCACAGCTCAGCTCGCAAATAGAAGACAAGGCCAGGGGGAGAGGGAGTGGACGTGGACTGGAGGGTTGCCTGCTGCTGCAGTTCCCAGCATACCCTGAAGGAAGAAGACAGTATGCAGGAAACTCCATGCAAGCCCAGAACCCAGCATCAGGCTGTTTCTCCCTCTGGATCCCTGGGCTCTAGGAGGATAGGGGGTGTGAGTGTCTGAGCCGAGGGGGGCCCTATAGCTGGGCTCTGGGGGTTGGGGGTGAGAGTGTCTGGGTTGGGGGGACCCCTGCAGCTGGGCTCTGGGAGGAAAGGTTGTGAGTTTCTGGGCCGAAGAGCCCCCCGGCTGGGCTCTGTGGGGGAGGGGGTAGAGAAACTGGGTTGTCATAGGGGTTTCTTTAACTCTATTCCTGAGGGATTTTTGTGTGTGTCTGTATTGTTACAGACAGACAGAGTTGCTGACAGGTATTTTGAAATAAATTACCAAAATAATTGAAACTGACATGATTATGTAGTGTTATTTTGACAAATAAAATTTGCAGAATTTTTAATCTTTTGGTGCAGAATTCCCCCAGGAGTAAGGAATGGAGAAACTTCAGCAAACGCTATCCTCAATAGCCTGTAACCCTCACCCAAGCCGCAACGTGAGGAGTGATGACAATGACTCAGTTCTCTACTGTGAGGGGAAGTCTGGTAAACTAATGCTTCTCCTGACCCCGTTTTGCTATCATGCCCCCTGCTGGCAGCAAACAGGAAACAACTAAGTGATAGCAGCTGTATTGGCAGGGGCCTGAACTCTTCAGGTGAGCTCTCACCTCCTTGCCACTGGTCTGTCTTTGGGAAGCAGGGGCACTCCTCTCCAATGTGCAGCTTCCCCCCTTGTGTTTCCCTCCCTCTATCCTGTGTCTTTCTCCTGCATCCCCACCAATAGGGCCCCTCCTTGAAGCTGCTGCTGCCTGCTGCATTCTCTCATCCACCCTCACCCCGACCTTTTGCAAGGTTGCTCTAATATAAATACACATTAATCCACTTCACACCCATTCCTGACTACTGGGTGTAGAAGAGGATTGTTTAAAAAACTGCCTCATTAAGTACACACCCAATTAACCGGAATGGCTTCAGAAGATGCACTAGCTGCTTGGGTATCAAACATTAAGGATTAAAATGCACAACACTGTGGTTAAATAAGGTTAGATGATGGAGTTTAGCAAAAGCAAAAAAGCAAGGTAAGGCTGATGAAATGCTTAAACTTAAGCCTTCACTCCAGCCCCAAACAATGGAACAAGTCCTAAAGGAACTGCAGCTTGCTTTGTTAGGTTATCTCAAAGGTGCAGGTGCTTTAGGGGTAAGTCTCCACTGCCTACTTTTCTAAAAGTAACCAAGTCTTTAATTAGATGTGTGTTCTGAGAAAATAGGGCTTTCATCTCCTACGCACTGAAGCACAACATTTGAAAAAGGTAGATATTGCTTGTGACAGTAACAGCTCAGTAGTAAAATGGAAACCACTTCTATCCTCTTTCAAATGTTCTTTTCTTATGGCCTTTTAAGATTGACAGATAAAATAATTTATAAGAATTAAAATATAAAATGGCTTAATTCCTTCCTTGTGCAATTCCAGAGACATGGTAGAAGTGATAATATCAAAGTGAATACTACACACACATCAAGTGGAAAATCTAATCAGTGAAAAATGCCACCAAAGCAATAACCAGAAAATTTCAAGAAAAAAGGCACTTCAGAAAAGAGCCCAAGGCAAAATATTTTATACGAAAATCTTAAGGATTAGTGTTTTGGAGTCAATGTAGCAATATATATACTCCCTCCTGACAACAAGAACGAGCCAATATAGACATATCTGTTAACACCTGATGCTAAACACTCATTTAGCTAATTATATTTCTTACCCACTTTTCAACCAACTCACACACAATAAAGCAGTTTGTTTTATAACAAAGCACTTTTCAATTTTAAATCTTTGTAGTTGCCTTTGTAAAACATTAAGTAACATATTATTTCTGGATGTTAAAGTTACACCAAAAGGGAAAGGGCAGTTAGTTACCTGTGACTGGAGGCTCTTTGAGATGTGTGGTCCCTATCTGTATTCCACAGATGGGATATGCATGTGCACCATGTGCCAAAGTCTAATTTTTTTTTGCAAGCAGTGTCCATTGGCCTCCTCATGCTCTGAGCCACGGGCACAAAAGATGGTGCAGGCCGACACTTCTCCAGTTTCCCATTCTTACCACAGTTCAATCAATCAATCAGCTACAGAAGGAGCGGAGGATGGGTAGCGAATACAGATAGGGACCACACACGAAGAACCCACAGTTATAGGTAGGTAACCTCTTCTTCGAGTGATAGTCCCTATGTGTATTCCACATATGGCAGATTAACAAGTAGTAGTCAGGCAGGCAATGGGTACCAAAGTGATAGTACAGCAATCTCAGGTGTCATTAGTAACAATAATGGTGAAAAAAATCCCACAGAAGTGAGGGTTTTATGTGGGTTGTGCTCCTTTCAAGTGTAGTTCCACACTACAGAATGACTAAAAATGCCATCATGTAACTCATGTGGGTATCAGTTGTATGACCTTACTTTAGTGGCTAAGGCCTCGTCTACACTCCAGAAATGGGCCAATTCAGCAGTTAAGTGTAGTTACACCCCATATGGTAGACAAGGACAAACTGAAGTTTGCAAGGATTGATTTATTCGGGGTTTACCCCAGTTACAAGGAAGTGCAAAACATGAGCTCAATGAGTGCAAATCCTGCATGTCCTTGTCTACACCTAAGGTTCAGCACCGTTGCAGCTACAGAGACTACAGAACTGAGGCTACTCTCAAGCATACATAAAGCATAGAGTAAGTTTTTACTACTTTTTATGTTAGCCACTGAGAGCCAATACGTTATGAGTGTGCAAGGAGGATTCTATTCTCTTATGCATCAAAGCAATTGTTTATTAATTGCCAATCAGTTACACCTGTCCAAAACTATTAGCAATAATGGGATTACACAGTTGTAATCCAGGGCCTAATTTAGTGATTTTTGGCAAAGGTAGAAAAAAAGAAAATGACTTAAATGGCAATCTGAGTTTCCAGAACCGGCTGTCTAAAAATCAAACATCCATCCTTTCACTTGTAAACTGACAGCCCTGGATACTAACAGATTTGAGTCACTAGGGTTTTTTCCCCCTGTCATTGTTAAAACATTAAATTAGGCCTTTGGTATAATCCCACTACCTCTAAATTTTGCACAAGTGTAACTGACTGAAATTTAAACAATCATTTTGATGCATAAGAGAACAGAAATCCTACTTGCACACTTGTAACGGAATCCTATGGAGTCACTGAAAAACACAGGCAGAACACATCACGATGTCCTTTTCAAAGAGTCACTTTTCAGAGCACACGCTATTTAGCAACATACATAAAACACAAACTCCCTGCTACATAACTACCCTGAACCACTAGATCACACACAAAGCTATACATCTTCACATGTGCAACAACTGGAGCATTCCTAAAATACTAGTTTATTTTCTAACCTTTAAAAAGATACCAATCAGATTCAAATTACATGCTTTAGAAAGGCCCCAGCTTTTTAGGAGATGAACAAGAGATAGATATCTACCTCCTGTCTCTCAACATCCATATTCCAGATAACAATTCCACCATCTGCACCACAAGAGATGAGTTGTCTTGTGTGGGGAGCATAGGAGAGACACTGAACTTTATCGCTGCAAAAGAAACATACAATATCAGTTAGTTAAAGGTTTAAACATATGTCCCAAGGCAAAGTAACTGGTTTGCCATATTTTTCTCTCTTGGCTCATTCATGTATAAAATTCACTAGTCCTACAATTCCATTAGTAGATTATATACTGTACCATGTGCTGTGAATTTGGTCCCCATTGGGTAGCGCACCACTTATTAGAGGAGGATTTAAAACAAGATTAGTTTTTAGATATAACTATTGCTTTTCCAGTTAATTAGGTTGTAGATCTTAGCTTCCTTGAAAGCCATGGTTGCATTGTAATTGAATGACCCCTGAGAATATAGTCCTAAAAACCTATAAACCACTATGGTAAAGTGCTCGCTCTCTCTCAGAACAAATGTGTCAGTTATTGGTTAATTTGTTAAATCCCCACACGGTGCCTGTGAATGAAGCAATGAAAAACCCAATGTTATCTAGCAACTTGAAGAGAAAAATAGTTTCTAAGGTGCTGCTGTGAGTATTCAAATCTAACACTAACAAATGAAAATAATTTCAAATAGAATAGAACTGATAAGGCTGCCCCAGATCTTCCCAAAATTTTAAGATTAAAAGGTTTTTAGAAAAATGGACTATTCCTCCTTTTGTTATTCTTTGTTAAACATGAAAAAAAAAGTGTGCTCAGCTCTATAGAACAGGGAAATATCAAGGCCCAGAAAACTTACTATCTAGGAGACAGGCACAGAAAGAAGACACTGAGATCAAGGGGGAAGGAATTACTTGAGCTCATTTTGTTTTCTTGCACTAGTCTTTTTTGCGGGAGCCTCCAGAAGAAATGGATCTTCAAGAGGGATAGCTCAGTGGTTTGAGCATTGGCCTACTAAACCCAGGGTTGTGAGTTCAACCCTTGGAGGGGGCCACTTAGGGATCTGGGGCAAAATCAGTACTTGGTCCGGCTAGTGAAGGCAGGGGGCTGGACTTGATGACCTTTCAAGGTCCCTTCCAGCTCTAGGAGATAGGATATCTCCATTTAAAAAAAAAAAAGGAGGGGGGTGGTTTAGTGCATTGAGCCCTGGTCTACACTACAAGTTTAGGTCGAATTTAGCAGCGTTAGATCGATTTAACCCTGGACCTATCCACACAACAAAGCCATTTTTGTTGGCTTAAAGGGCTCTTAAAATTGATTTCTGTACTTCTCCCCGACGAGGGGATTAGCGCTGGAATCGACATCGCCGGGTCGAATTTGGGGTAGTGTGGACGTAATTCGACTGTATTGGCCTCCGGGAGCTATCCCAGAGTGCTCCATTGTGACCGCTCTAGACAGCACTCTCAACTCAGATGCACTGGCTAGGTAGACAGGAAAAAGCCCCGGGAACTTTTGAATTTCATTTCCTGTTTGGCCAGCGTGGCAAGTTGATCAGCACAGGTGACCATGCAGTCTCAGAATCGCAAAAGAGCTCCAGCATGGACTGAACGGGAGGTACTGGATCTGATCGCTGTTTGGGGAGACGAATCCGTGCTAACAGAACTCCGTTCCAAAAGATGAAATGCCAAAATATTTGAAAAAAATCTCTAAAGGCACGATGGACAGAGGCTACAACAGGGACCCGCAGCAGTGCCACGTGAAAATTAAGGAGCTCAGGCAAGCCTACCAAAAAGCCAGAGGCAAACGGCCACTCTGGGTCAGAGCCCCAGACATGCTGCTTCTACGATGAGCTGCATGCAATTCTAGGGGGGGCCCCCACCACTACCCCACCCCTGTCCGTGGACACGTGCGAGGGGGGGGGGAAGGGAGTCTCACACAACAGGGATGAGGATTTGGGGGATGAGGAAGATGAGGAGGAGGAGGAGGAGGAGAGCACACAGCACACAAGCGGAGAAACCATTCTCCCCGACAGCCAGGAACTGTTTTATCACCCTGGAGCCAGTACTCTCCCAACCTGGGCTCACGGACCATGAAGCCAGAGAAGGCACCTCTGGTGAGTGTACCTTTGTAAATATAACGCATGGTTTAAAAGCAAGCGTGTTTAATGATTAATTTGCCCTGAAGACTTGGGATGCATTCGCGGTCAGTACAGCACTGCCTTTTAAATGGCCAACCCAACGGGTGCTTAGTATGGGAAAGGAGGGCGCTGCTGTTTGAAACCATTCCCACATGTTATGAAGGTTGAAGAAGCTGAAAGACTGTGGCTTACCATGGCTGCCTGCAAGCCAAATTCTGTTGCCCAACCCAGCGTCTGTGACCTCTCGCACCAAACCGGCAGGCCCTCAATATAAGAGGCAAAATGCGACCTTGTACCGAAAGCACACGTGCTATGTAATGTTAACAGCTTGGTTCACCGTGAAAGAGTCTACCCATTGTTCTCTAAAATGTGTCTTTAAGAATACTCTTTTTTTCCTCCAGCAGCTGCAAATGTTTTAACGATCCCCCTATCATCTCCGTCCCAGAGGCTAGTGCAGGTAAGGCGGCGAAAAAAAAACCGCACTCGCGATGAAATGTTCTCTGAGCTCATACAGTCCTCCCGCACTGAAAGAGCTCAGCAGAATGCGTGGAGGCAAACAGTGTCAGAGTCCAGGAAAGCAGAAAATGAACGCGAGAACAGGAGCAACGAGTGAGATGAGAGTTGACGGAAGCAAAAGAAGAGGTGGTGGCAGTGCGATAAGAGGAGACAGGATGCAATGCTGAGGCTACTGGGGGATCAAACCGATATGCTCCGGTGTCTGGTGGAGCATCAGGAAATGCAGCAGGAGCACAGACGGCCGCATCAGGAAATGCGGCAGGAGCACAGAGCCGTGTAGCCGCCTGCCCTCCTCCCCAAGTTCCATAGTCTCCTCACCCAGACACCCAAAAATGCGGGCGGAGGGAGAGGGGCTCCAGCCACTCCACCTCAGAGGACTGCCCAAGCAACAGAAGGCGGGCATTCAATAAGTTTTAAAGTGCAGTGTGGCCTTGTCCTTCCCTCCTACCCTCATCCACCACCCCACCCAGTGCTCCCCTCCTCACCCATCCCTCCCGGTCTACGTTGGCAGTTATCCCCCTATTTGTGATGAATTAATAAAGAATGCATGATTTTGCAACAATATTGACTTTATTGCCTCTGCAAGAGGTGATCGAAGGGGGGAGGGCAGTTGGCTTACAGGGAAGTAGATTGAACCAAGGGGGCGGGTTTTCATCAAGGAGGAACAAACAGAACTGTCACACCGAAGCCTGGCCAGTCATGAAACTGGTTTTCAAAGCTTCTCTGATGCGCAGCGCGCCCTGCTGTGCTCTTCTAATCGCCCTGGTGTCTGGCTGCATGTAATCAGCAGCCAGGCGATTTGCCTCAACCAGTCACCCCACCATAAACGTCTCCCCCTTACTCTCACAGATACTGTGGAGCACACAGCAAGTAGCAATAACAACGGGAATATTGGTTTCGCTGAGGTCTAACTGAGACAGTAAACTGCGCCAGCGCGCTTTTAAACATCCAAATGCACATTCTACCACCATTCTGCACTTGCTCAGCTCCTTACTACTGTCCAGTGTGCCTGTGTATGGCTTCATGAGCCATGGTATTAAGGGGTAGGCTGGGTCCCCAACAATAACTATAGGCATTTCAATGTCCCCAACAGTTATTTTCTGGTCTGGGAAGTAAGTCCCTTCCTGCAGCTGTTCAAACAGACCAGAGTTCCTGAAGATGCGAGCGTCATGTACCGTTCCCAGCCATCCCATGTTGATGTCGGTGAAACGTCCCTTGTGATCCACCAGTGCTTGCAGCACCATTGAAAAGTACCCCTTGCGGTTTATGTACTGGCTGCCAAGGTGGTCCAGTCCCAAGATAGGGATATGCATTCCGTCTATCGCCCCACCACAGTTAGTAAATGGCTTTGCTGCAATGGGATTCCCTATGAGCTGCACATTTCCCAGAGTCACTACCCTTGATAGCAGCAGCTCAGTGACTGTGTTGGCTACTTGGATCACAGCAGCCCCCATAGTAGATTTACCCACTCCAAATTGATTCCCGACTGACCGGTAGCGGTCTGGCATTGCAAGCTTCCAGAAGGCTATTGCCACTCGCTTCTCAGCTGTGAGGGCTGCTCTCATCTTGGTATTCTTGCGCTTCAGGGCAGGGGAAAGCAAATCACAAAGTTCCATGAAAGTGCCCTTACGCATGCAAAAGTTTTGCAGCCACTTGGAATCATCTCAGACCTGCAACACTATGCAGTCCCACCAGTCTCTGCTTGTTTCCCGGGCCCAGTTTCGGCGTTCCACGGCATGAACCTGCCCCATTACCACCATGATGTCCAAATTGCCAGGGTCTGTACTTTGAGAGAGGTCTGTGTCCATGTCCTCATCACTATGGTGATTGTGCTGTCGTCGCCTCCTCGCCTGCTTTTGTAGGTTCTGGTTCTGCACATACTGCAGGATAATGCGTGAGGTGTTTACAACGCTCACAACAGCAGCAGTGAGCTGAGCAGGCTCCATGCTTGCCGTGGTCTGGCATCTGAGGGACAGCAGGAAAGCAGAGTTGCTGTGGAATCGGTGGATGACGACGGATGCCACAAGAATAGATATTTATACCAACGACAAGAGGACCTGCGAGGTGGATTCATGGCACCAGGAGAGCAGAGTTGCAGCTGAAGTGGTGGCAGACGATGGTTAGCACTGTGCACATTTCCCGAGGACCCGGGAGCCCATGACAGACAACATGGAGAAATTTGCTGTTGAGGCAATATCAGCAGAGCAGAGTTGCAGCGGAAGCGGTGTATGACAATGACGATGGTTTGCAGTCCTACTGCACCGTCTGCTGCCAGCAGCACCCAGGACACAACAGCAGTGGTGTCAGTGAGCTGAGCGGGCTGCAGCTTGCCGTGGTATTGCGTCTGCGCGGAAAAAAAGCGTGAAACAATTGTCTGACGTTGCTTTCATGGAGGGAGGGGCAACTGACGACATGTACCCAAAACCACCCACGACAATGTTTTTGCCCCATCAGGCACTGGGAGCTTAACCCAGAATTCCAATGGGCGGCGGAGAATGCGGGAACTGTGCGATAGCTACCCACAGTGCACCGCTCCGTAAGTCGATGCTAGCCACAGTAGTGAGGACGCACTCCGACGACTTAATGCACTTAGTATGGACATACGCAGTCGACTGTATAAAATCGATTTCTAAAAATCGACTTCTACGAAATTAGGTCGATTTTATAGTGTAGACATACCCTGAGATTAGGTCAGAATCTTCACCCCACACTTTGGCACCAGCACTGCCTGACACCAAGCCAGGCTCATACTCTGAAGTGCTTTAATACTGGTCCATTATCTTGTATATGGATGCTCCTCTATGTAGCAATGCTTTTTGAAGGCAATTTAGAACAGTGCCACACTACTGTGTATCTATGACTTGCCAACTCAAAGGCAGCACTGTGTGGAAATGCCAGCTTTACTGTGGTTCTATCTAATGCAATGCATTACATCACTGAACCAGCATGTTCTCCAACACCGTCATACTGCAAATAAGATACAGAGGTTTGCCTGCACGTTAGATGCTGTGATGCTACAACAATGAGCCATGGCAGGGCATGCAGCAGTAGGCTTTAATATAAATAGACATAAAGCTTGAGTGTTTCAGTGAGGAAGTCCCAGGCATGCACTGTTGGAGTGATACAGAACCACAAAATCAAGGCAGCCCAATCAGCCAAGCAGAAAGTGCCTTTGAACAGTCAGTCAGCACAGTCACAGTAATTCAATGGTTGGAAAAGCACGCATGTGTGAAATTAGTCTTTAATATTGTGTTAGACCAAAAGTACCAAGTCATCCCCTCCTCTCTAGGTCTATTAAGTCTGGTTTGTACCTCTAGTGTATTCCCCTCTACAACAGCAGGAGCCAGTTCTGCCTTGCTCAGTTGCTGATGCTTAGGAACACTCATTTAACACGTTGACAAATGATGGCTAATTAGACAGAGCATCTTGGGTACAGCCTGGATTCTACATACATTCACATTTAAAAAATACTTGGGTAGCATGGAGTTAAAGTGGCTGGTACTCCGAATCTTGTGCTCCCTTCAAGGGGGCGGGGGGAGGGGGAAGAGAAGATAGAACCCGATCAGGAAAACAACCTCTCATTAAATTTAGTTAATATTGGTAATATACAAAGATACAGGAAGTCACACACAAATCCCATGCACAGACATAATATACTCCTTTGGTTCTGCTTCATTTTGTTTTTCTCCCCTAAACACAGGAGGAGGAAAAACTCTTCAAACGTACTTGTGTCCTTGTAATTCAATGGCTGTTCCTTTTCTTCCTCCTATGTCCCACATAATAATGGAATGATCCGAACTGCCTGAGAACAAAACTCGCTGCACTGGGTCCCAACAAAGAGCAGTGACACCACCTAAAACAGGAGAGAGACAGTACAGTTATTTAATTACAATTGAAGGTGGAAGGGAAGAATGTAATAAAAAGTGAGTCTCAACTTAAAGAGATGTGACTTAAGTTTAAACACATCCAACTCACCCTCCATCTGCACCACCACACTGCAGACTTTCCAACTGAAAGGTCTGGCACAGAATGAGCCCCACTGAAAAGCCTAGGAAACCAGAGCCAAATTCTAATCCTGCGTTTCTGTTGGTGCAGAGCCCAGTCCCAGCTCTGTAACTCATGCAGACTGAGCCCAGTGAATGGTAAACAAATCCTGGGATAGGAAGTTACCTCATGAGTGGTCAAAGAGCTGCTATATGGCCACCCATCTCCACACCCTGCAGGCAGAGTTTGTGATTAACAGTGGAGACACTGGGGAGTAATGAGAGGCGATGCCATCACAAAAATTGCAGGATGAGAACTGAGCAGCCTTGCCTCAAAGCTAGTAAGTCAGTGGGTTGTCAAAACACTTCCCACACCCTCAGCCCCAGCTGACTGGTTTGAAGTGGAGTGATAGGCCAATATGGAGATCCACTGAGGCCAAAGAACAGCTATAGGAGGAAAATAAATTGATCAATGAAGAATGAGCCATCAACCCCCCTCTCCATAGGCACCTGTTATATGGTGGGCTGACACACCAACTACAAGGACAATGTCAGAGCCCCAGCAGCAAAGTGACCAGTCAGCTCCTGCAATGCTTACTGTCCTTTTAAACGTCAACTCCTTACATGCTTCTGGTCACATCCTGGAAACACTGCGCACAGCATTCCAAACCCTCAGCAGTTCAGCTGACTACAAATGGGACTCCTCACATGCATGTGTTAGCAGGATCGGGACTTTATCTACTAAGGTCTTCTCTATCAGGGCTTTATTTGTTGTTGCAGCACTTTCCCACCAAAGTACTTTAAGGTGCAGAATTTTCACAATTTAAGTCTGGCTTCTCTCCTGTTTTTAGTAATACAGAATTACCACCCTTTACCTTGTTGACAGTTTAAGCTCATCTATTGTGCCCCCCAAAATACAGACATTTCAATTCAAACCATCACAGCTACTTACAAATTTTAAAAAGTTCATCCCATGGTAATGCAGAGCCTATATGAAGAACCAGAGATGATTATTTAACCTTAAACTTTACCTGTATGTCCCTTAAATGTTGTGACAAGGCTGCAGTTCTCTTGCTCTAGTTTGAGAATGGTTACCTGCCCAGAATGATCACCTATAAACACATGTCGGGTCTCAACATCAAATCTGATTGAAAGCATTGAGGAATCTTTTATAAAGGCTAGACAGAGGTTCTGAATTCTGGGATGTATCTATAAGAATATGTTGCATTTTTATGAAGTTACATAGCAGTTACTCGATTTTTTGTTTAAATACTAATTATTGTATTACACTGGAGTCATAGTTGGAATAACCAGTATTATATTTGCATTTACGGCACGCCCATCGCAGTACCATTGTGCCCCCGGGGCGGGGGGAGAGGGAGAATAGGGATAGCTCAGTGGTTTGAGCATTGGGCTGCTAAACCCAGGGTTGTGAGTTCAATCCTTGAGGGGGCCATTTAGGGATCTGGGGCAAAAATCTGCCTGGGGATTAGCCCTGCTTTGAGCAGGGGGTTAGACTAGATGACCTCCTGAGGTCCCTTCCAACCCTGATATTCTAGGATTCTATTCTATGATTAGAGACAGATCAGTTACCTCTAGGAAGATGACTCCTCCTTCCTTCTAAAATGGTTTCTAGTAGGTGGCAGTGGCTGTTCTTTGAGAGAGCTGGTTTGTGTCTTATGACATATTTGGGGAAATGCCAGTTTGAACAGGTGGATCCTGAAGTGTGGTCTAAACATGGCAAGATTACAACCAATTACTGGAATAATCCATTTTGACAGGTTAGACCCCCCTCAATCTAATTTTAGTTGCACCTCATATATTTGAGGAATGGGTTATTACAGAGGTGGGCAAACTATGGCCCACGGGCCACATCCAGTCCGTGGGACCCTCCTGCCCGGCCCCTGAGCTCCTGGCCTGGGAGGCTAGCCTCCGGCCCCATCCCTGCTGTTCCCCTTTCCCCACAGCCTCAGCTCACTGCGCCGCCGGTGCAATGCTCTGGGAGGCGGGGCTGCAAGCTCCTGGGGCAGCGCAGCTGCAGAGCTGCGGCCTGACCTGGTTCTCTGTGCTGCGTGGGGCGTGGCTGGTTCCAGCCGGGCGGCACGGCTGCCTGTCCTGGTGCAGCCGCACCGCCAGCCACTGCTCCAGGCAGCGCGGTCAGAGGGCAGGGAGCATGGGGGGTTGGATAGAGGGCAGGGGAGTTTGGGGTGCTGGTCAGGGGCCAGTGGTGTGGATAGGGGTTGGGGCGGTCAGAGGACAGGGAACAGGGGGGTTGAATGGGGGCAGGGATCCCGGTGGGGGGAAGAGTCAGGAATGAGAGGAGGGGTTGGATGGGGCGGCAGGGGGCAGTCAGGGGTGGGGGTTCCGGGGGCGGTCAGGAGACAGGGAGAAGGGGTTGAGTTTCACACATGAATGTCTACATGGCTATTTTTAGCACTGAAGTGCAAGACCTACAAATGAGAGTCTATAGACCAGGGGTCTCAAACTCCTGGGCCGTGGGCCATCTGTGGCCCATGGAGGAGACACAGGAGGAGAGACCCAGGCAGATAGTTGCTGGCAATGTCTGCTGTAGGCTCCGTCCCTGTAGCGCGCCCCGCACCCACCATAGCTCCCATTGGCTGGGGAAGAGGGACAGAGATCTCATCATTAGTTGCCAGGCAGAGTCAGCCATGGAGGCAGCATCACTTTTTTCCACAATGAATATAAACAAGTCAAAATACTGAACACAACTATCTGATGCACACCTTGCTGCAATCCTGAAGGTTTCAACTGCTCAGTCACGGAGGCCAAACAACAACCAACTGACAGAACTGAAGCATTGCCAGGTGTCTGGCAAACACTAAAAACTCTCTGACAGATGAAGAATTGTATAAAGTTGTATGACAGCTTTATTATTTCTAAGAAATTCAAAATAAAAAATACAATATAAATGTTTTCTTTTCTGAACACCATCTTCAGTGACATTATTGGCTCACTGGGAGGATTTGAGGACTGGCATTGGCCCTACGGTAAATTGAGTTTGAGACCCCTGCTATAGACCCAGGCTCTCTGAGTCTCTCTCTCTCTGCTGCAGGTGTTTTTTTCGCAATGTAGACATACCCAAAGAACTATGTATTCTGAAACAAGAGGCACAGCAGAGAACAGAGTCTGGAATTAACAGGGTAAAGGGGTTGTTAGCATTACCAGTCTATTACTTATATTTGTTGGTGTTAATACAAACACAGGAGCGGCTGTTCTGACATGATCTAAGGGTCCAGTTCAAATGATTTCCAAGCTGTGGGAAGAGTTCCCAGACCCCTAAAGGGAACTATCCAGAAGAAATGACAACAAGATCCTGTGTTAATCAACACTTAACGCTAATAAGGGCAAATATTTTAGAAGTGGAATTTACTCTTCACTATTTATACTTTTTTGCATTTCACTTAGCCTGAGCAAAGAGGCTGGTCAATTTCACTTGTTTGTACAGAAACTGATTTCAAGTCAATTTGATCTTCGGGTTCTCATGAACTAGTAAAATGGGCTGTTACCGCACTGTAGACACTATAAGAGCAGTTTCACTAACAACTCATTGAAATCTCCATTGTCTCAGTCTTTCTAAAAGACTGGTTTTTAAACTTACAATGTATCACTGATCAAAGGAGAGAGTTGACATTTCTTTTGTCAGGCAACTAGGGGCAGATCTTGGAGAATTAACCTGCTTGTGAGTAACATTTTAGGAATCATTTACTCTCCAGCTGAGCCCATATTTCAAAAGCATATTGTTCTGTTCCAAGGTAGAGAATATGCGCTCATTATTTCATATTAAGTCATTTAATTTTTGCCATGTGTGTGCACACGCTCGGACCTGATCATTGACCTACTTTGCTGCTATTATAATTCCCAAAAGAAAAAGCGTGTTTTAAATGAAGCTCCCATCAATCTCTATCTTACAATGAGACCACAATAGGATGCAGCTTTTAAGAATGGATACGTCAGAGTTTTTAAAAATAAATGTTTAAATCTAAATATACCTCATGCATAAAGTGGACAAAGCTATGAGGGCTGACAATTTTTAACTGAGTTTTAAAAATTATTTCCTTGTAAGGTTTTGAATATAGATGGTTAAGATGATGGAGGCCTGAAAATGGCTGTTTTAAACAAAGACGTGCAAAGACAAAAGAATCAGAGAAAAGCTAAGATGTTAACAAAGGATACTGCAGGCCGCAGGCCCCGGCACTGGTGCGATACCCTCCGAGCCGCTGCCCACTCTCCGAGCAGTGCCATGTGAATTGCTTGTCCTGTCCTGTGCTTAACACCCATTCCATCTCCAGGACAAACAGAATCATCATAACCCTGCCTTGGTGAGCTGGAAAATCAAGCAGAAAAACAAACAGACATAACACTGAGGAGAGTCAACCCTCTGCTATCCAAAAAAATCCACGAACATTAATCCCTTCCCACCAAACCACTTCTAGGGTCCAATCCTGCAAGCCTTTATTCACACCTGTAAGCCTAACTGATGTCCTAATAGGATTGGTCATGTGACTAACTACGTATGTAACAGCCCAATCTTGCAAGCCTTATGTCTATATGATACAGTAGAACCTCAGAGCTACGAACACCAGAGTTATGAACTGACCAGTCAACCACACATCTTATTTGGAACCGGAAGTATGCAATCAGGCAGCAGCAGAGACCAAAAAAAAAAGTAAATGCAGTACAGTACTATGTTAAATGTAAACTACTAAAAAAAATAGAGGGAAAGCAGCATTTTTCTTCTTAGTAAAGTTTCAAAGCTGTATTAAGTCAATGTTCAGTTTTAAACAATGTAACATTTTTAAAATGTTCAGAGTTACAAACAACCTCCATTTCTGAGATGTTCATAACTCTGCGGTGCTACTGTAATATACTTTTGCTTACACTTGCATTTTTCAGGAAAACTCCTATCACTGCAGTATCACCACTGGTAATGCTAGCATGGCAGGACTCAAGGCTGGGATTTTTAGACCTACTGAGCAGGCTTAGATAACATAGTGGTACAAACGCCCATGCCCTGTCTACACTCCCAGCATTGCTATCACTGGTGGAACTGCGCAGGTGGAAATGCAATCACAGGTTTTCTGAAGATTTAGCATAGACACAGCCTTAAACTAAAGAAGAGTTTTAGCACTGTACACACATTGTTGGAGTCCTGGTCACAGATAACAAATCAGAGTCAGTTTGTTTCAGTGCATCTCCTTGTGTGAATGGAAACCAACGAGGGATCTGCAAATGCGTCCGCACATCAGGCAGATGTGGCTGCGTGTTTTTGCCACAGCCTGCTTTCTTAACTCCCACCTCTCTTGGCTTTTTCTGTTCTGCTGTTCTCAATGGCTTTAATGGCAGACCAATAGGCCTGCTGCCATTGGCAGCAGCAGTTTCCCCTGCATTTGGGTTGACTTGGTCAGCTTTTAGGTGAACTTGGAGACTGTGCTTATATTGCTTTCACTGGTCCCCCAGCACATGTGCTCCCGTTTTCAACTGTCCATAAAGCATTGCTTTGGGGAATCGTATTGTCCAGGCATATGAGGTGACTAGCCCAGCCAAGTTGCCCCTCTATGATAACATTCAATGCTAGTCATGCAGGGGCCGGTCCAGGACTTTGATGTTTGGTATTCTGTCCGACCACTTGATGTTACAGGCGAGATGCAAACAGTGCACATGAAAACTGCGTACACATATGGCACACCAGGAAGTTATTCAAATAGGATGTTGAAAAAAGTGCTATATAAAGATCACAGCTGGTCAATATCAATAAAACAGCTGAACAAATAGATTTGTACTTCTACATAAATAAAACCCTCAACAGCTTTTAACCTAAGAAACGGTGCTCTACCTATCACTGATTCTTTAAATCAGTGACCTCTGGGCTGAACTGTGAAGTGCTGACTGAACAGATTTAAGTAAAAAAAGTGGTTTGAAAAAAAAAAAACGTACTGATTTATTCCTAGCTGTATCATAAAAGTGAATGCCATATTCCTCAATATACAAACCTATTGCTTTACTACTGTTCTGGGACTTTGAGACATATGTCAGCCAAACCAGGCTGCTTGTATCTGTTTATGTGAAAGTTGACACTGGAAAGAGATCAAATATCTTTGCAGCTGTATTCTAAACTGGTATTTTTTTAAAAAGCAAAATTACTCAGAATACAATCCTCAAATAAAGCACAGATTTTTGTTGTTGCATACACTACACAATATATGCATACTGTCTGTTGAATCCTATGGAGGAATTAGTTCTAGTCAAGGATGTAAAATCTGTGTAAACATCTGTCACTAGTTCCCCCACTTTTCAGGATCACGTTCCTCATGGCCTGGTAACACAATTAACACATGTGGCTCTAACAGTGGCCTCCAAACTTCTATAGCAAATGGGCCAGTTTACTAGACTAAAACTTAAGGTGTACAGTAACTCCTCACTTAAAGTCGTCCCGGTTAATGTTGTTTCGTTGCTGATCAATTAGGGAAAATGCTCGTTTAAAGTTGTGTAATGCTCCCTTATAACGTCATTTGGCAGTCGCCTGCTTTGTCTACTGCTTGCAGGAAGAGCAGCCCATTGGAGCTAGCTGGTGAGGGCTTGGAACCAGGGTGGAACGGCAGCCCCCCCATTAGCTCCCCGCTCCCCTAAGTTCCCTGTGCAGCAGCTGCCCAGCAGTCTAGCAATTGCAGCTGTCCCTCCCCCCACTGCCATGTGCTGCTCCTGCCCTCTGCCTTGGAGCTGCTCCCCGAGACTCCTGCTTGCTGTGTGGGGGGGAGGGAAGGAAGAGGGGGGCTAATGTCAGGGTGTTCCCCTCCCCCTGCTTACCCCATCTTCCATAGAGCAGGGGGGATACACCAGGGCTCAGGATGGGGGGAGCTTGCAGCAGCTGCGGTCTCAGCAAGCTGATCTAATTAACAAGGCAGTGTACTTAAAGGGGAAATGCGCATCTCTCCCTTCATTCCTGCTGCCTTGTAGAGTGAGAGAGTTAACCCTTGAGGGCTCAGCCAATTGCAAGTTCATCATTTAGCAGTAAGGGAAATATCCCACCCTCTGACTCCTCCACCTCAACCAAGCTTCACAACCATCATCACTGTGTACCAGTATTAAATTGTTTGTTTAAAACTTACAGAGAGAGAGAGAGAGAGAGAGAGAGAGAGAGAGAATGAATGAGTGAGTGGTCTTCCCTGGAACCTAACCCCCTCACTAACATTAATTCTTATGAACATAAGTGATCTCATAAGAACATAAGAACGGCCGTACCGGGTCAGACCAAAAGGTCCATCTAGCCCAGTATCCTGTCTACCGACAGTGGCCAATGCCAGGTGCCCCAGAGGGAGTGGACCAACAGGCAATGATCAAGTGATCTCTCTCCTGCCATCCATCTCCATCCTCTGACAAACAGAGACTAGGGACACCATTCCTTACCCATCCTGGCTAATAGCCATTAATGGACTTAACCACCATGAATTTATCTAGTTCTCTTTTAAACGCTGTTATAGTCCTAGCCTTCACAACCTCCTCAGGTAAGGAGTTCCACAAGTTGACTGTGCGCTGCGTGAAGAAGAACTTCCTTGTATTCGTTTTAAACCTGCTGCCTATTAATTTCATTTGGTGACCCCTAGTTCTTGTATTATGGGAATAAGTAAATAACTTTTCCTTATCCACTTTCTCCACATCACTCATGATTTTATATACCTCTATCATATCCCCCCTTAGTCTCCTCTTTTCCAAGCTGAAAAGTCCTAGCCTCTTTAATCTCTCCTCATATGGGACCCGTTCCAAACCCCTAATCATTTTAGTTGCCCTTTTCTGAACCTTTTCTAGTGCCAGTATATCTTTTTTGAGATGAGACCACCACATCTGTACGCAGTATTTGAGATGTGGGCGTACCATCGATTTATATAAGGGCAATAATATATTCTCAGTCTTATTCTCTATCCCCTTTTTAATGATCCCTAACATCCTGTTTGCTTTTTTGACCGCCTCTGCACACTGCGCGGACATCTTCAGAGAACTATCCACGATGACTCCAAGATCTTTTTCCTGACTTGTTGTAGCTAAATTAGCCCCCATCGTATTGTATGTATAGTTGGGGTTATTTTTTCCAATGTACATTACTTTACATTTATCCACATTAAATTTCATTTGCCATTTTGTTGCCCAATCACTTAGTTTTGTGAGATCTTTTTGAAGTTCGTCACAGTCTGCTTTGGTCTTAACTATCTTGAGCAGTTTAGTATCATCTGCAAGCTTTGCCACCTCACTGTTTACCCCTTTCTCCAGATCATTTATAAATAAGTTGAATAGGATTGGTCCGAGGACTGACCCTTGGGGAACACCACTAATTACCCCTCTCCATTCTGAGAATTTACCATTAATTCCTACCCTTTGTTCCCGGTCTTTTAACCAGTTCTCAATCCATGAAAGGACCTTCCCTGTTATCCCATGACAGCTTAATTTACATAAGAGCCTTTGGTGAGGGACCTTGTCAAAGGCTTTCTGGAAATCTAAGTACACTATGTCCACTGGATCCCCCTTGTCCACATGTTTGTTGACCCCTTCAAAGAACTCTAATAGATTAGTAAGACACGATTTCCCTTTACAGAAACCATGTTGACTATTGCTCAACAGTTTATGTTTTTCTATCTGTCTGACAATTCAAATCATTGTTTTTTCACTCTTGTAATCTCAGAACACAGTATAGTATCAATCCAATGACAAACCAAGGTTTTATATTAGTAAATCAATAATTACAGGAAATAACACTTTCTTCCCTTCTACTGCAAAAGAGAAAAAGGTTTGTTTTTTTTAAAAAGCAATTGATGACATTAACAAATGTAAAATATAACTCTGCTAACAAAGACTTATTGCATTTCTTACCCTGGTAACTTTTGACTGGTGTCATCTTGTTGTAATCTTCTGATAAAATAAACTCCTGTAAAAATAAAATAATGTTTAGAAATGTGAAATATTTGCAAATAAGTCTGTGCTCTATTTGAATTTACATAAAATATAGATTTTCTACCAAGTTCAAATCCAACATTAGCTAGAATTTTGTTGTCCAATACAAATAAATAGTTTCCCTTAAAATAAATAAATGACTATTAAATTCCACTACTACCAGAGTATTTCACCTTTGCAATCTGCCCAATAAGTGATTTCACAATAGTGACTTTGAATGAAATGGAGGTGGGAAAAGTGGAAACCAAAAAATTTAAAAGCAAGCTGGCCCAAGTTAATGACTTAGCTATTAGCCAACAACATGCCACAGAATGGGCGACCTGGGATCAAGTGCATCCCAAGTACTTTAGTTTCTCAAGCCAACTGGGGCTTCAATTCAATTGGTGTGTGTCTGTGTACTACTATCAGGGGGTAGCAGTGTTAGTCTGGATCTACAAAAACAACAAGGAGTCTGGTGGCACCTTAAAGACTAACAGATTTATTTGGGCATAAGCTTCGAAGAAGTGAGGTTTTTACCCACGAAAGCTTATGCCCAAATAAATCTGTTAGTCTTTAAGGTGCCACCAGACTCCTTGTTGTTTGTGTACTACTGCCCTCTTCTGGTTAAAAATAGGTCAGAGCCCAGGTACCTGTAATTCAATTTAGAGACGCAACAGCCCTAGTCCAACCCCTTACCAGTGTTAGATTATTCCTCATTGTGTTCCATCTAGTTTCAAATCTCAACAGATCTGTGTGTTGGGAAGTTTTCACAGATATCAAGGCCATATTTCCTTTTGCTTAATTTCATCCCACTGGTGATTCTATATCCCTTTGTACCATCCTTAAACTCAATATTTCTCCTTTTTTGGTGTTTACACGAGGCTGCGAACAGTTACATCTGTGTGTATGTGGGATGCCATGGATTATTACAAGCTCTCTCTAGATGGGAGAGGGAGGAGTGGTTTGGATCCTCAGCCTCGAGCACTTGTTTTGCCAGTTACAGGAGCATTCACATCAGAGGAGGTTGTCAGCCTCCCAATGCTGCTCAGGTTTGTGCCGATTTAAAAAAGCAACAGAAGTTACATTAACAGCTTAAGAACTATTTACGAAAATATCAGCATACAATAAAACCTGAGGAACAGTCTCCAGCCTTTGGAGCACAGAGCGGCAAACCCCATGCAAGTTAGTATTTACAGGGAGCACCGGTGTCCTTCGTCTGCTTGAGTTTTGAGGAAGAACAGATCAAAATACGGGAAACTAACTGGCCTCAGTTAAAATAATCAGATCGAAGTCTTGTGATACTGGATTGCAATGGCCTAATACCCAGATCTCAGAGTTTGTGCTTTGTGGTAGGATCATATGAATTTATTCTCAGATTGATGGTGGGCACAGACACTAAAAAAGTGACTTATAATGGACTAGACTTGTGGTCTCCAAAGTGGGGTGCGCAAGAGGATCCTTGGGGGTGCGCAGCAGGAGCAGCTTTTTTTTTTTTTCTTCTTGCTTCAGCGCGGCAGGGGGTGCGTGCTCAAAAATTTTTTACTGATAGGGGTGCGCGATCAAAAAAGTTTGGAGACCACTGAACTAGACAAAAAACAAGTGAAGGTGACATGTTCAAGCAGTATGGCATAACTTTGGGGCTGAAGCTCATGGAGTCCTTTCATAGGGAAACAGGTGCATGAAATGGGTACAGGCTTAGTCAACACTCATGAGCAAGTGAGAGAAAGCTAAAAATGCACAAGACAGCAAGTGTTGAGAGACTTCACGAGAAGAAAAGAGCAACAGTGACACTGGGGAAAAAACCATCCTTATTGTGACTTCAGTGAAAGGGGAGAGGATCACAGAAACTAAAATAGGTGAAGGTAGCACAGAGTAAGGGGAAAAATGAGACTCAGAGTATGTCTACACTACCCGCCGGATTGGCGGGCAGCGATCGATCCAGCGGGGATCGATACACGATAAATCGACCCCCGAGCACTCTCCCGTCGACTCCTGTACTCCATCACCACGAGAGGCACAGATAGAGTCGATGGGGGAGCAGCAGCAGTCGACTCACCGCGGTGAAGACACCACCGCAAGTCGATCGAAGTACGTCGACTTCAGCTACGTTATTCACGAAACTGAAGTTGCGTAACTTAGATCGATTCCCCCAGTGTAGACCAGGGCTAAGTAAAAATGTTTAAAATAAATGAAGTTTTAAAAACCACAGAGTACTGGGGTATCCAATTTGCAAGAACTGCCAAAACAATGAATGAATGACTAGTACTGCAATCTATTTGTAAAGAAAAGTATATTGTATATAAAAAATAATAAAAGCCATTCTTTGACTAGAGACTTGGTAGTTATTTAAAAAAAGCCAATGTTTCCCTATAGCTTCCAAGTTTCACGGAATAACCAGGGTCATCTCAGATCTCACTGTGAAGTAGCTATAGGGCTATATTAACTCTTTAAAATGGTGGCCAATTTAATCCAAAATCAGCCGACAGTAAAATGGCTCTGAGACAACCATTTCACAATAGTAACAGAGCAATCGTCCTCTAAAAGAGGCCATTATACCAAGGCACTGGATATGATCCACTAAAATTGAGGTCAGACTAATGAATATTACAGCCTGTCAGTCAAAGGTTACAAACACTGGACTGAAGAAATGAAATGTGACTGGTTTGTCTTACCAGTTTATGCAGCAACAGAGCACAAAAGCAAGTGGTTTATGTTTGTAGGTTTCCTTGGCAAGTTAATTATAATTGTATAATTGCGTTCTCTTGACTTGCCCTACTTCACCCTACTGTTCCCTTACTCTAATAATTTCACAATGGCTATCCCCTGGCACCAGCAGACTACAATTCAGAGCACAGTTAACAGTGGTAACAAATCTATTAAGTGCGCTGAATTTCTAGCCCAAGGTCACCCTGACATTTTCGCCCTCAGAGCAGCAAGAAACTGCTCTACCATTAATGTTAGTTTTGATTAGTTATTGCCCTAAAGATCCTAACAATCTAACCAAAGCATCAAGTGCTTTACAATAATGTTAATTTAGACCAAGGTTCTTTGGTGTGAAGTGTTATTTAACTTTCCTGACGTTACCTGAAAAAATAAGTCAGCTTTACTTGCCACAATGTGTAACAGTTAAACATTCCTACCTTATTAACCTTTAAGTTTAAAGCTCCATATGACACTGCAGTGGTGCATGGACTCAAGGGTTTTGAACCAGAGGTAGCTACATTAGTGTGGCAACAACGATCCCAGTCACATACCCAATAGTGTCAAGTATCGAGGGTAGCCATGTTAGTCTGTATCCACAAAAACAAGGAATCTGGTGGCACCTTAAAGACTAACAAATTTATTTGGGCATAAGCTTTCGTGGGTAAAAAACCCACTTCTTCAGATGCATGGAGTGAAAATTACAGATGCAGGCTTTATATACTGACACATGAAGAGAAGGGAGTTACCTCACAAGCGGAGAACCAGTGTTGACAGGGCCAATTCGATCAGGGTGGATGTAATCCACTCCCAATAATTGATGAGGAGGTGTCAATTCCAGGAGAGGCAAAGCTGCTTTTGCAGTGAGCCAGCCACTCCCAGTCCCTATTCAAGCCCAAATTAATGGTGTTACATTTGCAAATGAATTTTAGTTCTGCTGTTTCTCTTTTAAGTCTGTTTCTGAAGCGTTTTTGTTCAAGTATGGCTACTTTTAAATCTGTAATAGAATGTTCGGGGAGATTGAAGTGCTCTCCTACTGGCTTTTGTATGTTACCATCCCTGATGTCCGATTTGTGCCCATTTATTCTTTTACGTAGAGACTGTCTGGTTTGGCCAATGTACATGGCAGAGGGGCATTGCTGGCACATGATGGCATATATAACAACATTAGTACATGTGCAGGTGAATGAGTCCCTGATGGTGTGGTTGACGTGGTTGGGTCCTCAGGACCCACATCTACCTGCACATCTACTAATGTAACTATCAGTAACACGTGAACTCCAGTCTCATCACTGTCTTCACCCACCTCAAATTAACCTTCCACATTTTTCCAAAAGGAAGTAAGGTGGTATACATACAATGTACATCCATAACTAGTTCCAATTTTGCCTTATGGTCATATTACCTAACTACCAATTAATCACTAGTCTTCAGTGAAAGACTTTTCAAACGCTTTGTAACAAAGTATTACGGTGTTGTGGTATAGGGAATACTATGGTCACTGTCTAGCAAAGGTGAAAGTGGAATAAGGATTACCAATGTATTGATTACCTACTTGTGCTTTAATACACTGTGGATAGATATTTGCTAGTAACACAGAGATATAAAATAGACAAACTATCATTATACACAAACTTTAACCCCCCCTTTCCTTTCTTAAAAAGAGGAGGTTCAATGTATAAGAAAAAAATGTTCCATTAACCTGAACACAATCCATAGTTTTTAATCTTTTCTTCCTTTCCATACAAAATCCATAGCTACATCTCATTCTTGCCTTGTATTCTCTCTTCTTTATACATTCTTGGGTGTTTCCCCAACATTTTTTTTTTTATTATTTTCTGCTTCCCTTCCCCCTTTTGACCATTGTTTTCTTTTACTGCATTTTCATTCCCCTATCCTTGTCAAAAATGATTGAATTGGTTGCTCCAATGGACAAGTATTTTAATATAGGGTGCCCTGCTCACGAAGTTCATGCCTACTGCACCTATATGTTTTGTTTAGTCTCCACTTTGAGAACACTGGATTTCATTTCTAAAAACTGTACAAAGGTAAATTTTCATTTTTCTAACTATATATATATATATATATATATATATATAAATAAATAAATGTAAGTTTGCTATTTTCATGGAATATGGTTCTATTGTCAAAGCAATTGATTGCCAGTTGTTGTTAGACAACTTTCTGGCTCCGTCCATCATAAAGATAGAAGTCACCCACAAAGTTCAGAACACATCTGCCACAAATTGTAAGGGTTATTTCCACAGTACTTTCCTCAGGAATTGAAATTAGAAG